GAAGTCCACGAGTCATAAAAGAGCCAAGGTTGCCTACCCCTGGCCTAATGGTACTGAGTTAATTTAATTGTACAGTTAGTCCTCGCCTCATGACCATCCGTTTAATGACTCTTCCAAGTTACAGCGGCACTAAAAAAAGTTATTCGTGACCGGTCCTCACACAACATTGCAGCATTCTTGTGGGTCACTCGATCAAACTTTGGATGCTTGGCAATGTATTTGAGATGGTTGCACTGTCCTGGGGTCATGTGATCACCATTTGCAAACTTCTCAGCCAGCTCTCAACTAGCATAGTCAACAAACCATGACCAAAAAAAAATCGTAAAATGCAGTGTGATTCACTTAAGATTAAATAGATAAGGTAACCTTTATTGTCATTTTTTTTTACTGTGGGCACACTGGCACACATTAAAAATGAAATTCTGTTGCCTGCTCTCAAAAGTGTACACATACATAACCGACATATAAGCATGCTACATACAACATATGTATATACCTACACCCTTACATATTTGTTGTTGTTGTTAATTGTGAAGTTGTGTCCGACCTATTGCGACCCCATGGACAACGTTCCTCCAGGCCTTCCTGTCCTCTACCATCTTCTGGAGTCCATTTAAGCTCACGCCTACTGCTTCAATGACTCCATCCAGCCACCTCATTCTCTGTCGTCCCCTTCTTCTATTGCCCTCAATCTTTCCCAGCATCAGGCTCTTCTCCAATGAGTCCTTCCTTCTCATTAGGTGGCCAAAGTACTTGAGTCTCAACTTCAGGATCTAACCCTAACCTTTACATATAAATACATATAAATATGAATCACTGTCCATCTTGAGCTTCTCCTGACCTTTGTGCAGGAGGGTTGATCCTCGGTCATCCCGTTCGTTAACATTGATGATTTTATTTTCGAGTAGCATTCTTAAGGTGTCCAGGTCCCCTCTGAAGGCAGCATCATGCCCTGGAAAGCTTAAATCTTTGCAAAGAGAGAGAAAGAAAAAGTCCATAAATTTGAATCATCTCCATAATGGTCCATCTAAGATGTTTAAGCACTTGGAGACCAAATGTTCTTTAATCTAAGCTTTCCCAGTATGAGTGCCATAATCTCTAGACATCTGAAGGTGTTCAGAATTTCTGACAACTATGTAAAGATGACAGAAGAGAAAAGAAGAGGACAAGAGGAGCAGGAGGGATAGGTAAAGGTTTCTCCTGACCAATTGTGTCCAGTTCTAGGGGTGATGCTCATCTCCGTTTCTTAGCTGAGGGAGCCAGTGATGTCTGAAGACACTTCTGTGGTCATGTGGCCAGCATGACTATATAGGCCAAGGTACATGGAACACTGTTACCTTCCCACTGAAGTGGTACCTATTTATCTACTTGCATTTGCCTGTTTTTGAACTGCTAGGTTAGCAGGAGCTGGAGCAAGGAACAAGAGCTCACCCCATTG